ATTTTGTTGTTTGTGTTACAAATGGGGTGAGACACAGAAGGGACAGAGAAGGGAAGCTCCTCTGTATGACTCTTCTATTGACTTAGCTTAGAAAGCGATGGTAAAAGTACCATTATGAGGGTCTAGTAGTCATATTGCATTGGTTTACATAAGAACATACCCTGACTGCAGTTAGGAAGATGAAGTTTCTATGTGCTGGGGAACTCAATCAAGATGTGTCACCAGCTGTGCAAGGTGCTGAGATTCCTTCAAAGGCTGAGACCTAAATTGTTGTCTTTCCTTCTCGTGTGTCCATCCTGCTGAGAGATATTACAAGCCAGGTTTCTTGTCATTTTGACTTTGCATTTGTTTACTGACGCCGTGGACATCCTTCTTCAGGTTCACCCGTGCGGGTGTACACCTTGGCTGTACATTGCCACTTCCTTTTGGACATCACCTTTCCTCAGGTCTGCCGCCTAGCTACTTACCTGAGTAATTTTAGGGCTTCACATTGAAATTTGTCAGTGAGACCTCACCCAAGCAGGTAGATAGTAGTTCGGAGATTGTCAGGTTTGGCAGGAAGATAATGATGAGTAGTTCGGTGACAGTGAGAAAAAGTATCTTCATCAGGGCTCAGCAGGATTTGTTAGAGCTGACAGGTTATTCACCACGCAATTACAATTCTGTAAAGTACATGGGAAAAAGAGATGGCTGGCCACCTTTGTACTGCAGAGCCAACACAACTAAGGAGGGAAAAATGTGGTGGTTATTAAAGTGGACAGACATTTTGAATATATACAGAGCTGTCAAAGAAAGATGCCATCATACTTTTCAGAGCAGAGCCATGCACTCTAAAATGACCGAGGCAAATTAGAACAATTTTTTAAACCCGGTCGCCTTATTTTCAGCACTGCAGAAACAGGAGCAGTCACTTCTACCTCAACTCTGAGCTGCGAAGTAAAATCTTCATATGGATAAAAACCACAAGACATGCCACTTACCTTCAACAGCTGAAGAAGATCTTCTAGTAGTATTTTGCAAGCAGGGGCAATGGGTCTGCAGGATCTACTCCACTAGCTGTGTCAGATAGGAACGCAGCCTCTAGGATTCGGGCCACCTCCCAGTTCACCACTGTCCCACTGCAGTTGTCTCTCTTCCATGGCTTGGCATGGAAGCTACACATAACCCGCTCACCTGCCACAGGTGTCCTTGAGAGTCAGGCACTGGCCAGCCTTAGATCATTTGAGAGCTGGCAATTTGACTGGATTTGTTGAATTTTTAGGGTGATAGCATGTTCTTCTAATGTCTTCAGGACATTGGGATTTTTTTTCAATATTTAATTCTACTTCTTTAATTCTTCTTACTTAGTTCTACTATTTAATTCTTACTGTGCCTCCCCATACACATCTCTGATATCCTGTTATCTGGGGAAAAACTCTCCTCCTTGCTTTTTTCCCCAACAGCGGTGAAAGATTCCATAAAGTGGCTTCTCCCCATGATTGCTGGTGACAGCCACGAGCAAGGAAAAGTACTGTTTCCACGTGAACACACAAACACCTAATGGTTGGGTTACAGGATGGACCAGTGCTTACTGTTCAGTAATTTCTTTTTCCCCATTACATCTGCTGATAAATCGCATTCGGAAACCCTAAGTCTTGTCCCGGATTCAGATGGAAGGCATCTTTTCAAGTTCACAAGAAAAAGCTGACCGTATAGACTTGTACTAAATCTTTGAACAAGGACAAATTGTCACGTTTTGAGGGTTGGACTTGTCAGACTTATTTTTCAAGTACCTAATTTTGCAGGCAGAATTTAAACATCAAATAATTCAGTAAGATCTGAAAAGCAGCCTTTGTAGTTCTGTTTATTGTCTTCTCCTGATGACAAAGCGGTTCTTTATTGTGCATTCTTTCCTGCAGAATTTAATTGCAATGTGCTACCTTACAGAGGTAAATAAAATTCTGGGTAACAAAGTTGCCGAGCAAATGGTAGAGCCTTTTTCCGCAAAAGCTTCCTGTGGTTAATGAAAATATCCTGACACTGACCTCTGCACTGGCTTCCAGCCACCTACCAGAAGAGCAGGCGTGCGGCGTACAAATTGCAAACACACATGATGAAAAAAGAACACAACGGATAGCCACTCAAGTCTTTAATTTGGGAGAATGATCCGCAGCGGTGTTTGCTGCTTAAGTGCTTTCTTTAGACTTAGCATCAGTGAGGACACTGTAAGAACACTGTTTTGATTTCAGAGGTGTCGTGTCGTGACCTCAGTCGGCAACTGAGCACCACCCAGCCGCTCGCTCACTCCCCCCCACCCGGTGGGATGGGGGAGAGAATTGGAAAAGCACAAGTGAGAAAACTCGTGGGTTGAGATAAAAACAGTTTAATAATTGAAATAAAATGATAATAATATAATAATAATAATAATAGACAAAGCAAGTGATGCACAGTACAATTGCTCACCACCCGCTGACCGATGCCCAGCCAGTCCCCGAGCAGCGGCCCCCCCGGCCAGCTTTCCCCAGTTTATGTACTGAGCGTGACGTCACATGGTATGGAATGTCCCTTTGGCCAATTTGGCTGTGCCCCCTCCCAGCTCCTTGTGCACCTCCAGCCTTCTCAGTCGGTAGAGCATGGAAAACTAAAAAGTCCTTGGCTAGTGTAGGCATTACCTAGCAACAACTAAAACATCGGTGCCTTATCAACTTTGTTCCCATCCTAAATCCAAAACACAGCACTGTACCAGCTACTAGGAAGGAAATTAACTCTATCCCTGCCGGAACCAGGACAAGAGGGTTAATGAGTGTCAGTGTGTAAATACTGGTGCAGTCTTTCTGCTGAGGCAGTGGATGTTTATAGATGTGAATTTTTCAGCAGCTATAAACGGAAGGTCTATTTGTTTTGTCTGAAGTGCATGGGAAAGGCTTGATCATAATGTTAGAAATTCAAGGCTAACGGTTTAAAAAAACCCTTACGTTTCAAAGTTCAGCTTAAAATGTCATGGCATAGCTTCTGGAAGGGAGGCACCAGAGCAGGCAAGCTGCAGCAGCCCAGCAAAGGCGGACGGCACAGCACCGGTGGCTGTGCACTTGCCGAAATGTGTGCACGCCTGTGGTTTACTAAGGAAGCAGCTCAACACACACATCTATGATTTTATTGCGTTCGAGTCAAGAGGTACAGCAGTAGATAATGCCACCTTTTGGCACAGGGACAGCAAACAAGAGCTCGTACCTTTCTCCTACAAAGCCATCTGCCCCGGCTGAATATGATTGAGTGAGAAGTCACGTACTCAGCCTCATCTATCCTCCCCAGTTGGTGGAGAAAAAAAAAATGCATTTTTGTAATCCCTCTGAGCCTCCCATTAAATTTGCTCTGCTGTATGGGAAAGGATTAAAGATTCTTTGGGCTCCAAAACACAGTATACAAAAATTAAGTAGTACAGTATGGTTTGTGGTAAGGCAGCAACTAAAGTGTATGGCCTGCCATGTAATCCAGAGCAGCGAGTTCTCTTTGATAAGTAACGCTTGTTGACAGCTGTTGGTAACACATGCCACAGTTGTGTATGGCCTTTGTTTTAAATATTCTGTATGCAACATAACTTCGTAAGTAATTTCAAAAATCATCAGAGTTGTTCATATGCTGTTACTGACTTAGTTCTGAGTGCCAAACGAGGGGAATATTTGCTGGCAAGGAGAACTTCTGTTCCTTTAAGAATGGCTCATAAATCCTCCCTTGTAATAAATATTTCAAGATTAAAATCAATGCGTTACAAGTTTCAGACAAGGCTGTTTATCAAGATGAAATAGTCCATTTCCTAAAAGGCAATATTATTTACATTTTATGTGAGTGTGGGCATAGATGAGAAATTGTTATTTAAGAGCTGCCAGGATTTTTTCCCCTCAGAAATGGTAAATGAAAAATGCTGAAAAACTTCTTTCCCTAATTTTTTACTACTTTGAGAGCCTGACTTGCTGTCAGGCTTAGTTTGTGCAGTATTAAATTCTGGTAAATTTGTAGATACTAAATATTCTAATATTGTGCTTAGTGTAAGTAAGCATCAAGCCTTTTTTGTCCTGATTCCATAATTATAAATATGTGACTTTTTCTTTGTGAAAAGGGACACAGAGCTACTGTGTACCCAGGCCTTGGGGAGAAAGTAGGGGTGAGAAAGGGCGTAATAGATATGAAAAATTAGACTCCAAAATCCATACTTTAAAACAAATGTTGTCTTCTCCTGTTTACGTTAGCCTACTTGCATGAAACTTCTTCCTTCCACATCTCAACTGTTAAGCGAAGAGCTGTGTTGTGACTATCACTAACTGCGCATCTGACTACAATTTACCTATGTTATGATAGAAAGTACTAAAGAACAAGAGGAATCAAAGCATCAGTGTTGCATTTTTGTCATTTTTCATTTCCTCATTGCACTATAGAAAGCACAAATATATGAGGTGTGAATACCATCTCATGAACAAGAGGTCAGTTCCAGTCTGTGTAAGACGTTACTGCTGAACTAACTGTATAACTGTTTTCACCATTTGCAAGGCGAATTAAATTAGGGTTCCAAAGGAACTGGAAAACAATACCATACCATGCAATTTATATCTAGGCTCTCCAGCCAAAAAGCATAGTAAGAAATATCTGCTGGCTGTATCCATCTTTTTATTTTTCATTATAATCACCTTTCCATTTTTCTAAACACGCAGCCTGTTTGCTTTTCCTCTGTAGTAACTTCTAATGTTAACTTTTAATATGAGCCTTTGAACAGTATTCCTCAATGTCATTATTTCAAGATTTTATGTATGCAGATATTTTGCGTATCGGTTATTTTTCTTAAGGTCTAGGCTGATACCAGTATAATTTACAAAAAAAATGCTTATAGAAAGAAAAACATCATTATGAAAAAGCTTACTATATCGGCTACTCAGTTCTTGGTTTGCTTTTAATCTCTCTTCTGAAGCTGAAATTATAACCTGTTTACTTTCCAGTTTCGGCTTTCTGATACTTTGGTTTGATTTCAGGTTACTATTGGCCAACTGTATTCCACGCAGAAATTGGTTATTGAGAGTCCAGGAAACACATAGCTATGAGAAGACTCTGATCCTGAAGCAACACTGGACCATCTTCAGCATCCTACAGTGCCACATACAGATGCGTAAACTCACTGCACATGTCTGAGCTTTTCTGTTCAGCAAAAGAAATGCCTGAGAGACTCAGTTTTTGGCAACCAAAGTACTATTTTCTAATGGTTCACATGTTCTAAAATATATTGCTGTGATTTATAATGGCATGTAAGGTAGTCTTGAAATCTGTTTGCTTGTATGTCCCATGAGATGAAATAGTTCCTGCCCTACTTTGACAATAAAACTTCATTGAGCTACCTGTAATCAGATAGATTGTTCTGCTGCTGACCTCTTCCCTCACTGAGCACGAAAGATGTGTTAGATTTAAAACCCCTCACCCAGTTACTAAGTTCTTATTGCTCCTGTTTCATTTGAAAACATACAGCATCTGAATTAAATGAATAAATACGTAGTCCATTTTAAATATTAAAACCAGAGATGAACAGAGTTCTCGTCTCCTGGACCTTGATACTTACAAGTGTCACAAGCTGCATTGTGTGGTTTCTTTAAAGAGCATCCCTTGACATTTCAGGAGGCAACATAAAAATTTCACTAGTTCTTTCTTTAGTTTCCAAGAGTTTAATAACCAGTCTCATCCTACTTTTAACAATTAACAGATCAGAATAGCAGAATGTAAGACTTGCATCACCGGGGCTCGGGAGCTTTAAAATATATTTTCACCACCGAGTCCTTTTCCAAATTTGTTGAAGTGCAGCTATTAGCAGAAGGCACCACATCACTTTATGCAAAGTTTCCCTTTTTCACAAAGCTCCTGAATTTTGCAGGAGAACAAGAACCTAACTATGACAATAACTCAAGTGCTGTAAGTCATGAATTGGCAGCAAGCTTTGCCTAGCAAAAGTGGAACACTCAGTATACCATTTTATTGCTTATTATTAAATCTGTAGAATAATCAACACTTTTAAGACAATATGTTAAAAAAAAAAGCAAGCAAAAATTTTGATCAGGTTCTCTTCAAGTCACTGCTGTGCTTGAATTTGTTTCCCGTTAGAAATTTGCAGAAAAAGTAAGCAGTGCAAAATTTTTTTAATGGCATACAGAAAAAAGCTTCCTTTTTTTTTTTCAGGGGGTTGTTGTGGGGTTTTTTAAGAAGAGAAACAGAAACTCAAAACTAGTTCCATGACACTGTGGCTTTTAAAAACCTCCCCTTATTTTTCTTGCTTCCCAAAATTCACCTTTGTTTAGAACATCTATTGTTTCGCGTTGTTCATGCTGTGTGATAATATTATTAAAGCAGAGAATAGACGAAGTGTCTAATTTAGAACAAACTCCCATTCCTCACTACCCTTTAAAGTGTATTTTATAATTTTGTACAGTTAGATTGAAATGTATAGTAATGCATTCCATTACCAATATAGTGTACAGAATAAGATACTGTGACTACCCGAGACTACAAATGCAGCCTCCATTCTCATTTTCAAATAAAAGGCAAATACAGTAACAATTCTCCTCGTATGAGGTGTGTAAGTATTGCAATGTAAATTGCTTTTAGTGAACGTTTTATTAAAATGGCATTTAATTACTCTAAGAGGTGAAATACATTAGATTCTGTACTTTAAATCTCCACACTCACAACTGGATAATTAAATGCAGTTAAGTTAATGGTGAAAGTGTAGGGGAAGAAAGGTTTGATTACTATTTAAGCTTCCAGTGAACTTAAAGAAATGTAGTAACATCTTACACGTTTAGAGGACACAGGCTTGGAAGGGCTGCCAGTTTTATACTCTAAGGAACGTGGTCCCTAAAACAGCACATGCAAAATCCTTGTTTAAAACAGCTTAATTACTGGAACAAGCACTGCATACTATTTCAAGATCTGAGAATGTATGCTAGGAAACAAAATAAACATCCTTATAAATAGCGTAGCCCTAATTTATAAAGAGGGACAACTCCATCAGTAACATTTTTACTATTTAACTCTAAGTTTTCACCATGTTTACAAAAAAATAAGAGTTTGTTTTCAAATAGACACCCTTCAAATACATAATCATTTCTTCCAAAACACCAGTACCTTTCCAGTGAAGTTCCTTACTGTTTGGTTTCCACCAAGAATACAGAGGTAGATGGTACGTGCTGATGCAGTCATGGGCATGTGAAATTCCTTATTAATTCCCTTAAAAGCATGAAGGAGATATCTTCTCCATTAACACGGAAAATTCTGTTGTGAAGTTTTGGTGGTAGATACAACACTACTGCTCTCCTGATTCATGCCATCTGCTCCTACTTTCTGTCTCAAGGTTACCACTCATATTATCTCTCCCTTAGCCTTTTATACCTGCAAAGGAGCACTAGTAACCTTCAGGATATGTTCTACAGAGAGGACCCATCAAGAAAAATACAAATAAATTTCAGGCTCTGTAATCTCCCTCTCTCCCCAATCCGTAGTGCAGAGGTTAAGACAGCTCACTTTCCCAGTCAAGGAAAAATTAGTTCTTATTGCAATTTAACCATCAGCTTACCATACAGTATTTATACATTACTTATTAGAAGTAATGTATGTAAGAAAACTGCTGCTAAGGACCAAAAGCCTGGGTAATACTGTCTAACTTGTTAACAAAAGTGCAAAGCTAGCAAAGGTATCAGCAGTTACTCCTCAAACCCCACACAATCACTGCATTTTAGAGGTCCGTTCCCTCTCTGTTTCAGATTCCTTTCCTCACCAACACACGTGTACGTACACCCTCCGCTAGCATTAGTTACATGCCTATCAGTTGCATCTGCTTGTAAACTACCTAGAAATATTTTTTTCCTTTCCTAATGTCCATTTTAAGTAATTTTGTCATAACATGCCCAGTTCTGTCTAACAACGTAGCTTATCAAATGCTTTATCATTAAAATCCTACAAACTATGGAAGGAAAATACTTAGAAACCACATCTGGATTAGGAAGTCCAGCGCAGAAATAATATTTGTAGGCTGGGATGACTTTAGTATTATGTTTGTATCCACTTGCCCTGTTCTTGCTCTTGGCTAGAGGCACATGCTCGTCGTCACTGATGGGGACAGCGAACTGGAGAGCTGGCACTGTGGTCCAGCCTGGGAGTTGCTGTGCTCTTCTGGCTGCACCTTCTGTGTTTCACCAGTTCCGTTTACGTTGCAATACTCATTAAATCTCCCTCTTGGCACGCTGTCAGGAGCTTTGTGGGATTTTGTCAAAGCAGTGTAAACAACAGGAATAGTCAAAACACAAAGGAATGACTTATGTACAATGTCCACTGCTAGAAAAAGTGTATCCTTCTTCCTTAGTCTAGAAGGGAGCTCAATAAATATCTTTACTAAAGCTGCAATGTCTTAGCAAAACGAGCTTGCTTTTGTATTATATTAAAAATGTTTGTCTGTTCCTGATTTCAACATTTTAGCAAACTATTAACCTCAGCAGTATGCACCGAAATTTGAATGTTTACATATACTGAAGTCTGTCATGACTGTTACTGTTACCGTATAAACTTGGAAACAGCACTCTGAAAGAAAAGAAAAGAACCATTTGTTTAATATTAGTAACTGTTTAAAGGACAGGCATTTCTGTCGTGTGTTACAGCTTCACAGGAGATGTTACTGCAATTGAAAGCTGAGTTTCAAAATGCCCGGCTGTATCAGAGGTACAGCTGTCCTGTAGCAGCCCAGGAGAGTAGCATGTGAACGCTTTACATACAACGTTGAAATAGGCTGAGAAGGATTTTAACTTAGGACTCACATTTCTAGAAGGGTATTTCTATAGAAAACTCCACCAAGTTTCCAGGCGTTAAAAGCTTTACTGGCACCCTCTGACGTCAGCAGGTAGAAGAATACTTTTACGGAGAAGCACCAGCCCCTCAACTGACCTCCTGTAATGCAACATAAATGCATCTCTCCAGATACCCAGCAAGTACCATACGTACACATGAACAGCGTCAGGAAAGAGCTGTGCGCTGACTCTTTTCCTGAGTTTTCCGTAATGATCTACAGTGAAATCCTGGCATTATTCAAGTCAGGAGTATACCGATCGCGTTGTTCCACGATTCTTAACACAGGCATAATGATTTCATACCCTTAGGAACGTTTTGCTTGATGACCTTTATAAAAAAAGAAGGAAGGTGTGTAGCTCTTCTACTGAGAGTTTACATGCTTACTTCTTTTTTCAGTATTTTAGACTGTAAGAATAGTGCATGAGCCCTTAATGTGGAAGCAGGAAAAAAGAGAGAGAAGCCAATAATTCTTCCAACGCTGTGTATTTTCTACAACTGTAGGAGGAGCAAATTCGGAACTCTCAAACCTGTTTCACAAACACATGCACCTTCAAAGGATTCTGCAGCTTACCCAGGGAATTAAATACCATCAATGTGTTGCAGGAGAGGCTTCTTTCTAAACTACTTACCTGTTTCCCTGTTAAGCCCGGTATCTACTGAAGCTTTATGAGAGGGGGAAGTGGTGGTAAGTAGCGCATTCACATGACTACTCTTCTGTGTTCAGGGTAAGAGAACTGTGGAGGCCTGTGAAGAGTGCACAGGCTTTCTATTGAAAGAGCGCACCACATAAATATTTATACCGGTCTTTGGCAATATGCTAATCCAAGGCAAGTAATTTTCCCTCTCTTAAAAAGAATCATGAAAAACAATTAAGGTGATTTAATTACTGCCACCCATAGACAGCAGATTTTGAACTCCTGACAGATGAACATTCATCACAGTGCCATGTTATCCTAACCCCGTAACACAAGACTCTGAACAGAATAGACAATTAAACCTAGATCATTTCCCCTACCTTCCTGACATGCTTTGGGCTGGATCCAAATCCCAGGGAAGCCAATGGGAGCAGAAGCCAGGCTTTTCAAGTCCTGACTGAAAGCCCTGGCTTTAAATAAAACAGAAGTAGTTTGCATGCAAGTTTGCAGTTCTTCATGACACCGGAGTAAATTTAGCTTCACAGTCCTTTTCTGAATCATTTGAATCTGAATTTAAATGTCAGTGTAAGCTGCAAAAAATTGCTTAAGGAAGATTTAACTTTGATGTCCTTCACACTATAGAGGTTCAACTATATTAAACTTTTTGGTTTTATATACACCTATAAAACCATTTGGCAGCTACTTCTCCCCCAAGCCCTTAATCCATGGGGAAAAAAACAGAACTCCGCATAAAATGAAAATCTTTGGAGCTGGAGTTTTTCCGAGAGTGCTAACAAATATTTATCATTTCTTGTTTCTTAAGTTAGGGGAGGGAGGGTCTTTATGAGCGCATCCTCCAGAAGTTATGCTCTGAATCTCTATAAGATACTACATTAACAGTAATGCAACCAAACAAGAAGAGTGCTTCACTTAACGTTTTACTCTGTTGGGCCTTTTGATTTTCTAGAATTAGAACTACTTCATTTTGAATACATTTCTTTGAGAATAAAGTTGCAGGTGCGCGAAGTATCTCAACCTACGACCCCAAGCAGCAGCCCTGTGCTTTGCTGATGCAGGCTTGCTAGCATTCCGTACACACGTCGTCCAGTTCTGATTTTCACACTGCTGCCCAGCGTCATCTTTGGTGAGGCCTTGCGTTTCTACAGCCCTCAGTAACCTCTTCTATGAAAATTCAGAGAACTGTGCGCGGGCAGTCCTTGAAACCTGCTTTGGAAATGGATGCTTCTATAACATCGTAAAAGTACAAAAAAGTACTATCTATTAAAAAGCGAGTATGTTTGATTCTCGTCTGGGAGAGGTTCCCCCTTTTCTTTCACAAAAAGTAATTCTTAGTAATAAATAAAAGCGCTTTACTTGTTACCAAAACACAAAAATGTTGTGCTTTAATTATCACAATTTGCAGGATTTTAGACTGGCACCGATTTTCTGAAGCACTCAAAAGCATGTTGCTGTTTTCTCTCGGCAAATACTTTCTTGTGTTTTGAATTTCAGATCACACCTCTGAAGAGAACACGTAAATGTTACATTTTCTGGATGTGGATGTTTTACACCCCCTGCCCACAGCTTACAGCGTACCAGAGAACATTTCTAGCCCCCTATCAATAAGCGCAGCTAGCTGGGATTCTTCAAGGTACCAGCTCTGCACCTCTGCCCAGACACAGCCGTCAGAATACGGCTACTCCTTTAAATTCTGTTTAAGGAGAGATCCCTCCCCACCCCCCCCCCCCCCCCTCCTTTTCTGGCAAAGTTTCTTTCTTCTCTGAAGCAATTAATAAACAAAACTCAGAATAAGGAATGGGCTCCAGAAGCCCCAAATAGTACATTGTACTTAAATGAAGAATCAATCTTAGTGCTGTTAGCATCACGTATCAGCTTAAGGGCACGCTATTTCCTTGACACAACTATCTGAAGAAAGGCTAATTCATACCAGATTATTCCGTGTAATATCCTGTAATCCTGTAATGCACGGTAATTTTAAAACAAACTTGTGCAGGGAAGTAGTAGAGTTCGCTGTGCTCCCTCAAAACCTTTCATGCTTTTGGCGAGAGTTTACGTGTAACTTGGAAAAGGACAGTAAGAACTTCTTTCTGTTTGCCTGCACGGAGCTTTGACTCCCTTTGAATTGTTTTCAAAGCAACTGGCGCTAGTCTAACAGCAAGACGGTTTCTGAAGGAATTAAACACCTCTTCATATTTGGCCGTATTCTCACGCTATGGTTTACGTACGGGGTTTGGGGGGGCAGGCCGTGTTTCAGAAGCAGCGCGCCCGTTCACAAAACTGCAGGAACTTTCATCTGAAGCTCCCTCTGCTTCGCGTCTTTTCCCCAGTAAGCCCCCTGCTTCCATCTCCGATTTTGTACCAGCTCCCTGAAGAAGCAGGTTATCCAAAGGCCTGTTTTCAAGTATGGGGAATTTTACAGAGCTGCGAATTTTTCTAAGGTGCTCATAGCGGGCTTTAAGATGTTTTCTATCTTCAGAAGAAATGAAGACCTGGGAAAACTCACAGTATGCTCTGTTTTAAAAAGGAAAATAATCCTCCAAGGTCTTGCTGAAGAACATACATCCATGTCAGAACATTTTCTGTGTTCTGATAATGTCGTACCTACTTGTTTTTTCATCCAAAACATTGGATGAATTCTGAGCTACTGTATCAGAAGAAAACAAGTCGAGTCAAAGCCGCAGAAGAGCCAGAACAAAACTCGACTGAAACCTGCCTATCTTCCACCCGTGCTAGTAAAGCTTCCCGACATCACAGCTCGGCCCAAGATGCCTGTTACAAGAGCATACCCAGCCGTCATGTGCTTACAGGGCGATTTGCCTTGTGGCTCCGGCAGGACCACAGCCATTTTCAGCTATAGCCCGAAACGCCTCACATGGACGGGCAACGCCCCTGGTTACCGTGAGGCACGCCAACAGCTCGAGCCCCTCTGCACCGCACACGTTAGGGCAGGGGCACGGCCAGGTTGCAAAACGAAGAAGTATCCTGTTACATTTTCCTATACAGAAAAAAGATTTGTCATGGTGAGCTTTTAAACTTTTTTAAAGCTTTTTTTATTCTTACAAACCCATTTTCATTGGTACTTTTTGCTTACTTTCAGGCCTTGGGACATCAGTAGTAGTCAACCTCTAGGCTTTGCAATGCAAGAGTGAAGACTACAGGAATCATTGCAAGTGTCCAGCGCTGTGAAGTCCAACAGTGTGCTCAATAAGCCCCTTTCCCAACAACATACAAATACTGGAAAAGAGGTAGCAAAATAAGCCGAATAAATTATAAATTCTTGAGAAACGTGGTGCAAAATGTAACATAAGGAGAGCTGAACTAAGGCACTTGTTTTCATTCATTACTGAGGACACCCTCTCTGTACCGCAGTCACTCCTCAGTGAGAAGGTCATCCAAATCAGCCACTGCTCCCCAAATCTGAAAATACAGAACTGTGTGTGAGAGGGACACCATCTTTTACTTTACAGTGCATTACTCAAAGGTGTTACCAAAGCTCTCCTGATAAAGGCAGCATCAGCAAATATTTTAACTCCTCGTTTGTCCCGGTTTTGGACTTGTCAATCGTGTGAAAAGAAGTCACCGGTCTATTTTAAGCAAAAACATTTTTGCAGAAGTCCCTGCTGGCTGCTATTAGCCAGACGGGATCTACACACGGGCCTAGGGAAGGCGGGGAGCGGTATCAAAGTGTGCTGAATGACAAAAACCAGAGCAGCCCAGTCCAGCCCCAGATCCAGCCCCAAAACG